GAAGTCTGATACTGCCAAAACATGATAGTAATTAGTCCTATTTTGGGAATAAAAACATGACAGTTTTATTTTGGAATTTTCAAACTGTTTTAGTCCTATTTCGGGTAATATCTCATTATTTAATCATTGTTATGTAGCAACCCTTCTGTTCTGGACACTATCATCAGTATTTTAACGACAAGCTTTCACGGCCCTTGGCATTCTTTCAAGCACGCTGATGAATCCGAGCGTGAGCGTTAGTGGAATCTGTTTCAGGTTATGTATAGTTTAATGTCATGGCTAAAAACCTTGTTATCATATTATTGTTTGTTTGACACTGTTTTTTGTTTTTGTTTAGAACAAATATGAATGGGATCCCTACATCCACAGAAGAATAAAGAAGCGGTTTGAATCTTGTGCCTCATCGTGGTTGAGAAAAAATATTGAGAGAGCTAGACGAAAGGATGAGAAGCCAGACTGGATTTCAAAGGAGCATTGGGCTGTTCTTAAGGAGTATTGGGGTTCTGAAAATTTTAAGAAGAAGAGTGTAGCAGGGAAAAAGAACCATAGCATTGAGGAAGCAAGAGGTTCGCAATATCGTGGAGGTCGGATTCTGGTGACCACACATGTTCAAAGAATGGTAATTAAAGTTCCTAAACGTTTATATTTCTTGTTTTATTTCAATTGTACTAACACTTCATTAACATCATATTCTTGTTGTGATTACAGACTCGGTCTTTGAAGAGAAAGTCTTTAAAGATTGAGGTTTTTGAGAAGGTGCATGTGCCCAAGGCTGGTGATCCTCCTCCAAGAGTTGTTGAAACGAGGGTACGTTAATTATATATACATGAGCTTTATAATTTATTAAATATATTAGTTATTTTACTTGCTAAATATAATTATTTGTAATATTTTACAGAAAAAGTACAATGAGCTGAAGGTCCAAGCAGAATCTGAGGGGAAGTCCTTTGACGTTGATGATTCAGAGTTGTTTTGCAGGGCCGTGCCGGAGTACAAGGGGTGGCGGTTTGGGACGGGTTCTGAGGCAAAGGTGTTGTCGGGCAGCATGGATTGCACAAGCCAAATCATGGGACCGAGCCAAGAAGAGATTGATGCCCGCATTCAGGAGCAGGTTGACGCCCGTTTTGCCCAGCAGCAGTAGATTTGGCAAACCCAGATGGCCAACATGACAAATACATTCATGTCGTATTTGGAGCAGGTGCGGAGCGTCAACTCGGGTGTCCCGTTGCCCGAGTTCTCTGGTTTCCAAACACCGACCCCTCACGGAATTAATAACCTTCTGAACGACTCTGATGAAGTGCCCATGGATGATATTTTTAATGACATTCCCGTTAATGTTGTTAATTAAACTCTTAAACTCTGAACAATTTTTTTACTGTGACTGCTTCTAATGGCTTTTTAGCCATTTGCTTGGACTGCTTACACTTGTACCGTTTTATCTTTCAACTGCTTATTAATGTTAGTTTTGTTTATGTTATGCTTGTAGTTGTGAATTGTGATTATTGTGCATGTATGTGATGTTGTATACTATCCTCAGTTTTTTTTTAATTGCAACACTTGCTTTTTTGGGAAGTTTCAATATAATTGCAACACTTCCTTTTTTGGTAATAAGAATTAGCTAAAATGACTACAACACGCTTACAATCATTTAAAGTTTTGCTTAATTATACACTCAACCTTCCCTCCTCACTGGCTCACCGCCTTACCCTACCCACATTATTTTGAACCGTACCACTCTTCCAAGACCCCTTCCCTTCTTCCCCTTCTTCCTCACAATCAAAATCGAAAAAGATTTTTCATGGCCACCGATGGGAGAGAAAAGAAGACAGAAGGGTTCGCCGCCCATAGACGTCGTGACCGTTTTACAAACTCAATCGCCGCAAAACTGTCGCCCCTCTTCCAGATCCTCGTTCAAAACAAACATCAATGCCGACGCTCTGGATCCGGAGGTCTCGTCACTGTTGAACGTCGACTTCAAAGTCTTTAGATCCTCTTACTGTGGATATTCCATCTTGCCCTTTGGGGTAGTCTGCAATTGATGGCTCACGCTCTTTATTTTTCAAAGATTATATAGCATCAACATAGACGATGTTCGATGGTTGTTGCTCTCAACTCAATTTACAGATATTGAGAGCACAGGGAACCAAGATAAGAGAGATACGAGTAATATTAAAAGCTAAAGAAGATGAGCAATAGGGTAGAAAAGAAGTAAGCTGTGTGATTTGTTGTCAGAACTCTGGGAAAAAGTAAATAGCCAACAGTCTAAATAAGGGCAAAATAGGAACAATATGCTCTTACAGTAATTCATTAAAACTTGTGCCCATCTCCTATGTTGCAAATAAATCCGAACGGAGGAAGTATGTGAATTGTGAATTGTTATGTGTGGTCAAAAATATTACTCCCTCCCTCGCATATAGAGGTTTCCAAACGATGTTTGACTGACGATAAAGTAACTTTATCCCTATTCACGCTCCGATTATTTTTAGAAAACAAAATTTACACATTCAAAAACTACATTAAAGTCGCTACAAAGGCTGATAAAAAATATGTAAATTTCATTAAAAAATGATATATAAAGCCAAAGGTTAAAAATGATTTAAGTTGACCATGTGAATAGTGGACGAGAACCTTTAAATGGGACGGAGGGAGTACATTTTAGTTAAAAAAATTAAAAAAAAACGTATGAAAACGTATTAAAAACGTATACCGTACAAAAGTACGATATACGTTTTTTTATATCTGAAATACTATTTGGCACGGATTTCTCCAATCCATGCCATGAACCGATATAAAACTGAGCCAGTTCGGTTCTTATTATCCGAGGCAATTTTCGAGACAAAGAATTTCCGTGCCAAATTTGAGGGATTTGGATGCTAAGTTTAGGATGCAAAATTCTAGACAAAGGTCGTGCCAAGTGTTGACACAGATCGTATATTCCGTGCCAACACGTTTGGATCGAACCAGGTGGCACGAAATTCTTTTCCAAGCCAAAACCGAATCAAGAGCAATAGTCTGGGAATTTAAAGGGGTTATCCGAGCCTAAATCTGTGCCTAAATCGAGCTTTTTTTGTAGTGATTCTTGTAATATATAAGGAGTATTTGTTTTGTAATATATACGGAGTAATATATATGGAAAAATTAATATAGCTAGATTGCTTTGTACTCCTCACTTTTAACTCGAGGTTTTTTACTCCATATATTATTGTTACGACTAATAGTGAATTTATAATCAATTCATCCTAATTATTTTCGTAGTATATTTTTGAATAGGTATTGATGACCATTTAGAAGTCCAAATTGAGGGTGTTTAGATCTGCTTCTTGAAACTGTTTCAGCTCATTATTCAGAGAGCAGAAACATACATTAAAGTGTTTGGCATAGATGAAAGTGCGAAAATGCTTTTAAATGCTCTGAATTACGCCTAGAATCAATCTTATTGAAGTTGGTTTCCCTCAACTTCTAAAATACTAAATCTGATTTTACTTTTACTTTTGACAATAAATAGAAGTAGAATCAAATCCAAATATTCTTAAGTTTTTTTTATATGACTTAGACAAAGTAAGCCATAAAATCTACTCCCTCTGTTCCATTTAAACGTTCTCACACGATTTACTCCCTCCGTCCCATTTGAAGTTAACAGATCACTGTCATTAGCAGAATTATTTTTAGTAAATAAAATTTATATATTCAGAAACTACATTAAAATCGCTTTAAAGCCTGTTGGGATATTGAGTCGAAGGCCCAATATCCAGTCCAAAAGGCCACTAGGGAGAATGTTGGGAATGTTCCAATAGAGAACAGGCCCAGGAAGAGATTTAAACCAAACGGGAACCAACGGGCCCAGGAAGAGCTTTATCGGGTCCAATAAGATATTTAACCCGAACAAGAAACGAGGGCCCACAAGAGTTCATTCACGTCTCGAACGTGGAACGGCTCACATGATATACTTGAGGCAGATTGACGGGACACCAGACAGGACCACCATTCCGCTGCTCGAACGGGCAGCCTGCCAGTGGCAAGGTGCATTAAATGCTAGAGTATGGTGTCAGCAAGTGGAAGCAAGGGCGTTCAAGCGGCTGGATTAGCAACCAATCAGCATGGAGCACCCCATACCCCCCACATACCCCTTTTTTAGTATAAATAGGGGTATTAGTTACATTGTAACGGGTTAGCATTTTGATATTCAGAGCCTAGAATAGCTTTCTCACTCTTGTTCTTGTATTAATCACTGTTCCGACGTGCCGTTCGGGAAGTTTCCTGTGTAATCAGTGAATTATTTAATACAAGTGGGCTTTTGAACACAATATTATTCAGCTTTTATATTTTCATTTACCCTCGACCTATTTTCCAGATCCTTAATATCCAAAGCGTGTGTTGGGCTTTCGGATCTACAGGACTTAACCTCAACAAAGCCTTATCAAGAAAATTTAAATTTGATAAAAGTTGGATATCTAAAATAAAAGATTAAGAACCATGCATGGTGACCGGAGAATAGTGAACGGTAACCTTTAAATGGGACGGAGGGAGTATTATTAGGGAGTAATTTAGTATGCTTTTTTTAATTGAAGTCGCGAAGATCATTAAGGGGCTAAAACAAAACAAAAAAAAAGAAACAAAAATATATCACATGTTATTGGGAAAAAAACAAAATATATAGGTAAAAAATGATATGTGTACATCTCATATCACGGTGTAGATTTTTTTGTAGTTCTTCAAAAAGAAATTTCATGTTTGCCAAATGTAGGATTTTTACCTGGACTAGAATTTTCTTGTCTGGTCTAGTTTGGTTTTGTAATTGTCTGGTCTTTGTGTATTTTATAAATATGCAAGTCTGAATTGGTATAGTCTGATCTGGTCTGGTATGATTTGGGACTAAAAACAATCCAAGTAAAAACATCTTTAGTCATAGACGAAATGTACGTGTGAAAAGTATATTACTTTCTCGTTTTTTTTTCATGAAAAAGCTTATATTAATAAAAAGGAAACCAACCAACCAACAATATCCAAAATCTCAACTTCCTTCAAACCAAGAATAATCGAAAGTTCATCGGCCTCCTCACACCCTGATCAGACATAGAGTAGTTCATCTCTAAGGAGCGAGATTAATCGCTAGCAAGTGAAAGCTTCGAGTCTTTTAGCGGCTGAATCAGCCTGATTGCTTTCCAAACGAAATCTACCTACTAAAATAAAACAAACCACGAGCCATCCACCCTTATTGTTTGAAAAAATAAAAACAAAACAAAAGCTAGAAACGAGTCTAAATTGCAAAAAAAAAAAGTAAATAAATTTCAGCTGATGGAGCTCTCTCGCTCCCATCACCTCCTCGTCTTCCTGCCCGATCTTCAGTTGTGTGATAGGCGAACTGTAGCACTGCAGTTCGCCTCCTTCCCATTTTTTGGCGTCCTCTGCTCCACCTCCTTATCACATTGTTGTGGTTCTTCCTCCCCTTGATCAATCCTCCTTTGTTTCTGCTCGGTCTTATCTCATGCAATGTTTTGTTATTGTCCCTTCATCCCACCGTCGTGGTCCTCCATGTCTGACATAGTGACTCTTTCTTCAGCATCTTTATCTCCCTTTTCAGCAGGAACTAGTCACTTATTTCCTCCTACGTGTGCTCTTCCTTTTGAAGCCCTAAGCCTTGGTCCAAGAGGAAGTCCTCCACTCTTCCCACCACCCTCAGGATAGCGAGGGCAATACCTTCCGGGATGTCCAATAATCCCACATGCAAAACAAGAGCTAGGCAGTTCTTCATAGCAAAAATCGACACATAAATTAACCCCTTCATCCGTTTGCAAAAAAAAAACTTTTTCAAAGGCCTGCTCAAATCAATAATAACTCTTATTCTCATAAGCGCATTCCATTTAGCAGAAAAAATGTATTCATCTATTTTAATAAACTTCCCCATGAAATTACCAATCTTTACTGCATTCTTCATAGACAAATATCCTACCGGTACATCATGAATCTGTATCTAGAAACCAGCCCTATTTAAGAGCATCGCCATAGGTAGGTCCCCTTTCCCTAGTTTGCTCAAGACAATGAGATTTTGGTAAATTTTAAAGTCCATGGTCCTTCCTCCAACACCCTAAGCATATCATTTTCATTGTAAAACTGAAACATATTTCCTGGCCCCTAATTCCGTAATAGTGACACCTCGTACATGCTTCCAAACATTTGCCATCGTATTGTGCAAAATAGAGAAACGTACCGACTTTTCGGATGTGATTGGCCATACTAAAGAGAAACCCACATCTGTAGTATCAGGAGCCGTAGCCTCCACCAGTAGGAACTCATCCTCTTCCTCCATCTTCATTTGACCATACTCGTTAGCCAATTGCATGATCTCACACTGCTCATGAATAGCCTCCAACGTCCCGTTTGAACCACCGTTTGAAGGACTTTGTTGGAACTCCATTTCTACGCCTTCCTCTCTACATTTCCTCGCACCTTTCTTCTCGCCAAAAGGTTGTGTGCCCCAGCCCTTGTGCGCTACTTCGTACCAAACGAGACCACCTGCAAACCGCCGGTTGCTCAAAAAAATCGGACAAAGAAGCTGGATTTAAACTTACATGATCTAGTAAACCCTAGATACGTAGCTCTCCGCTTTTTGAGTAAAATCGGTATCTTCTTTCTCGTTTTTTAATCCTTAATCCTTGTAATCGTTTATTCTTAATCCTTGTAATTCTTTATCTTTAATCTGTAATCATTTTTCTTTTCTTGATACACACACGCACCTATACCTATATATAGTGTGCACATAAAAAAATCATTCTTCCAATGAAAAATGCAACAAGTTCAGTTTTTTTGCTAAATATCTTAACTAATCGTCTTTAAAACCTAATTAAGTAAATAATTAATTAATTAATTAATTAATTACATATAGAGTAACTACACATTTAAAAATAATAATGAGCGGGAAACCCACTTGTAGCGACTCATAAAGTGGCACGGCGCACCGGTTAACCCGATGAGTGGGAACACCAACCATATCGAAACTCAACCACCAGAAAACCAGAAACCCCCAATCCCATGAGTAGACAACCGTGTCACCGTGTGTGACGCCCACCTCGAGTAGCAGTCTGTCTATGACCATGCCCAACTACCTTGCCAAGACATTCAAGATCAAACAAACAAACTATAACTGTTTTAATGAGACATTTAATTACCGTTTTTACGGTCTAAATTAGTTCATATGTATACATGCATGGCTTAGTCTTTGAGACAAGCATATGGCTACAGTAGGGACATGGTAATATTCTTGAATGATGCCTTGAGCACAAGTGATGAAAGCACACTTAGCACAACAAAAGTAGTCATAAGCATGACTGGTGTCCAACAAAAGCAGTCATAAGCATGACTCGTGTTCCACATTAACACATGGGACACAAGCTAGGCAAATAGATGATGAAATTCCAATGCCCCTTGCTCTACCAGATCCAAGAGCCTTACACAACTACTTGTATTCCATGACAACATCAAAAGGTTATTTGGAGCACAAATAGTTGTTTGGCGTCCATCCACACACATTCTTGCATTCAAAAGAGGACGAGCGCAACATGGAATTCAAAAATCAATGGGAAAAGCCACCAACAGTGGTATGTAACACCGCAAACAACATTGAGAAGGTCCAAGAAGCAAGATGTCAATCCAACAAATCATGTGTGACAATCAATGTGTGTGTGTTGGTCTGTGTAATTTGCACGCAGACCTATGTCGATGTAATTTAATTCACATAAAAATACTATATTTATCTAAATTTATCATCAGTTTGTCCTCTTGAAGAGTTTAGAAAAGTTCAACAAAAAATGTTCAACTAGTGTAATGTGAAGAATTGCCCTAAATAGAAATAGAAATAAAAATAATGTTAAATTCTAAAATAGAAGTATCATATTTTCATACATTTAAGTAGTTATTGTAATACTTGAAAAATAATACTCTGTATCAATTATGGCATTAATATTATCATATTAATGAATGATAATGTCAAAATATGTCAATACAATTTACTGAATTTAGAGACTCGATGGAGTAGTAATTTACTCTTGCTTAGAGAGAAATCACACTACTTGAGAAAGGAAGAGGGACCCTTATAGCAGAAGTATCAATTGATGTTTTTCTATCTTTTTCCTGGCTCTCGACTTTTGATGCTGTTCTATCTTTTGATTCTTTTGGAAAAGTAAGAAGATATATTTTGTCTTGGTCTTCTACCCATTTCCTTTTCTTTCTCTCTTTTTTGTTTTTCTTCATTTTGCAAATTAGTGGGACGCAGCGACAAAAGGAGTATCATATTCTTTGACTAAATCGTATTGACTTGGTCGGCATGTAATACCATTGAAGCTAACATGAAAATTAACTACAAAAAACCATGCAAGTAGAAGGCGAATTTGGAAAATAGAAAGAAAAATAACTTGTTTGTGTATTATCAATTAATGTAACCTAAAGTGGTTCGTTTATTAATTCTACAAATAAACAATCCCATTATGGGTCAAGTCTATACAAAATAAGCTATGTGAAGCACATAAAAGAATCAATCTGTTGATCAGTTTATTTGATGTAACACCAATTTAAAACTCCTAAACCCTCGAACACCATTTTGAATTCACGATCCATTTCAGAAAAATATTACACTAAAATAGTTCAAGTTTTTCACATGTTATTTCTATCTACCAATCAGGGGTGGCCCTGGGGTGCAAGGTGGAGGCTGCCCTGGGCCCAAAAAATTTGAAAAAAAGTAAGGCTAAGATTTAGTACTTTACTGAGTAGGATGAGTTTTCGGCCCTACACTGATTATTTTTCGTGAGAATTATTTTGAGGTGCTTTCAAGTGAATTTTTTGATAAAAATTTATGAACATATTCTTTACAAAGTGTAAATTATGTCCAAAAAAATTATTTTTAAATTCAATGTATAAGTCAGTTGAATAATTATTGAAAAACACTACATTTTTATGCATATTTTGGCGTAGTGATTTTCAATAATTTATCTTTATGACTTACTGCTTGAATTCTAAGCTGAAATTTTGTAGACATAATCTAAACTTGATGAGAAATATGTTCATAAAATTTCATTTAAAAAATCGACTTGGAAGTAGATTAGTGTGATATGATTATCTGATTAGTTTGTATGTGTGAAATGTCAAAATATTAATGAGGGGCTAATGTATAAAAGTTAGTAAAAAGAATAAAAAGGGAATATTCCTTTTTGGTGATAAAAATGGTGTAAACTGTTGGAGATAAAATAATGTATGATGTGATGTTTACACCATTTTAGTGTACAAAATGGTGTAAACTGTTGGAGATAGCCTAACTTAGTGTAGGGATGGATAGGGAGAAAGGTAAAGATGAATTCATAGTTAAAAATATTTTGATAAAAAGATTTTTGATAAAAAGAAATAATGGTCCATACTAAAAATATTTTTTATGAAAAGATTTCATGGGGAGCAGGTGAAATAGAAATTTTGATAAAAAGATTTCATGGTCCATACTCCATAGTCCTTATTGTTTACATTTCACACTACAAGTCGTATTCGGATTTCGGACGTTCATGTCACAAAGTTCTCTTGTTAGTAGAATTAATTTTGACTACTTTTGAGTAGGATCATATTTTCTAATTCATATAGTTCTTCATTTTATATAATTCTTTGTTTTTAAAAGGAAACTCTTCCCTCCGAAATGAGACCGCGCTCAAGAATTAGAGGACTGAGAAGGTCCACCATCTAATATCATTTTTCAGAGAAGGAAGCATCAATGGAAAAGAGAAATTGACAAAAAAGAGTAAAGTAGAACGCACATATATTAAAAACAGAGTACCCAAACCACAACATTCAAGTCCAAACGCCAAACTAGTTTGGAGTGGACATTATTCACCTGACTCAACAAGAACAAGACATTAACTAATAGGGACATAATAGTCTTATAACACTGCAGAACATAATTAAAACAAACAAACAAACCCTTAGCAGTAAAACTCCTCCTCTTCTCTCTCTGCCTGCTTCCAAGAGCTTTCAAGAACAGACTTTGGCGAACCACACGTGTGGGCCCTAACAAACTTCTGGTAGACAACAGAACCAGCCATTCCAAACTCTTCATTTCCCTTCTCACAAAGGTAGTAACCTTTCACATCTAAAGAGCAAATTTGCTCAAGCAGTTTTCCCATAACATCGGCATGAACCGCAACAGAGAACTCACTCGGTTCAAAACAGGTAAGCACCCTTTCAATCAACATTGACAATTTAACATCTTCCAGATCATACCCAGCAGCTTCAAAGCTCGCATAACTGAATCCATCCTCTGGTGTAACATGAATGGTGGATATGGCATCGGCTTCAATAGAATTCATGGAATAGCCACATGGATCAAATTCAAAGTCACAAATGTCTGATTCAGGGAGGATCTTCCTTATTCCAGAGTTGTGGGTCATAAAAGCAGCAGAACTCGATTCATTCTTGTAAAACACCCTAGCCTTATCCTGATCCAATCCAGTCATGCACATTTCAAGGGTGTAAACAGGGCTCTCTAATTGCATAGCTGAAGCGGTATAAACATGCCACTGTTGTGGAGAATCAGAACCGCCCAAGATGGTTGCTTTGCTTCCGAGGTATCCAAAATGGCTATCGAGAACAGCAACTTCTTCAGAGAAGCTCCGGTGAGGAAACGACTGGGCTCCTGGGAAAATGAAGCTCCCACGGGTGTACCTAACAGCTTGTACATTCAGAGAAAGGGACCCTGCCAGTTGCAGGATAGGTGGGATAGAGCGAAGCAATTTTGTTGTTCCACAAGTCTTGATGATGATCTTGTAAGGATAGACAAAGAGGCTTGATTCAGAGAGGACATAAGAGTCCAAGAACTCATTCGACAGAGAAGAAACAATGGTGCACTCAGCTGGGCCAAGAAATTCATCCAATTGGGCTCTGGAAAGGGCACGAAGGCCCTTTCCTTGAGGATCCATGAGGGATTCAGGTTGGGCAAACACAATTTCAAGCCTCTTTTCATAACCTTCAAAGCCAATAGCAGACACTGGCATTTCCATATCCATTGCCATGTTTAGGGACTCAGAGAAAACGATTTAGGGGACGGCAGGGAAAGCGAACAAGGAAGCAGTAAAAGAAAGAAGGAAAAGGAGCGGGTTTTAAGACAGCAAAAAGGAAAAGAATTCTAAAAGAAAGCAGACAAGAGCACGTCCAAGAGACGTGAAAGGAATATCAGATTAGGGTATATCAGGATGGTTTGCGGGCGCACTGCAAGAGAAGAAAAGGAAATACAGATCGTAAGAACATAAGATTGTGTAAAGAACATCTCAATTGACAAAAAAAATACTGTGAGAACAGAGTGAAATCCAAAGACAACATACGTTGGAGTAAGCAGCAGATCTGAACTTCTTGATGCCACCGTTTGGTCTAACGTCTTCAATGCTGTAGCCGAGGGGAGCTTCGTAAAATAAGGACGATTTACTACTAGACTTTTTCCCACGATTAGACTCCATTAGAACATTCAATCCTGCAAGTTCAAAATTCATACAGAAACAATGTCACATTACTACATTCCATGGATCAAGTAATATTATCACCAAAACATGAATTACAGAAGATGACACACAGGCTAGCGCAGTCGGGTTTGGTAAATCACGCGGAAACTTAAAAAAACTTGCGCAATAAGCCA